TCGAATCCTGGTCCCATAGGTCTTCTTCCCACGAGAATCTCTTGTTGAACAAATATTTTGAGAACGGTTTTCTGCTACACAGTTAAGCATCGTCGCTTCCCGACCGCGCCGCTTATACTAACTTTTCGCTCCTCCACTTTTTTGAACGGGTAAATTTAGCAAGCTGAAATTGGGAATGATAACTGATGCAAAAATACTATATTTTAGCGTTAAAGAGTTGGACCTTCCAAGATGGCGACTGGACACTTTCTTCAAATGGAATGGGGTGTCATACGGTATTTTATTTTCAAGCTCTTACGACTAAGTACTTTATAACTCTGGACTCTAGAGTATAGGCTTACTATCATTCGAAATGGTGATTTGCGAAGCTGCTAAATTTAAGCGTATTTGTACATTGAGTTGCTTGTAATTCAACAACTAATCATAAAAACCTATGTTATATACAGGGTGGCCCATCCATGTGTAGACGGAATATTACTCATAAACAAATACATTTTGGGAAAATTTATTTATGGGATGTTATACACGACATTTAAGGGCAGATTTAGAAAATATTGGCTATTATACAGGGTGTCCCAATTTCGACCTACATATCAAAGTTCTGATTTTTCAAATAGAATGCCTCAAATTTTATTGCATATTTAGATAAACCAATTCAAAAGAAGAAAATTGATATAACATACTATGGGATTTTGGTAATTAGCTACTGAGATATAAGGTGTTTTGTCTAGAAAAACACCCCTATTTGGCAACCCCTTAGTCCGCCATTTTGAAATGTGGAGTGCTGAATTTTTGTATCAAAAAACACTAACATACCTCAGCTTTTATCTTATTTGTTGTTTTTTCGAATTTTAATTTTTGCTCATATAGGGTGGTCAAAAACGCAAATTGTAGTTTTTCTAAAAAATTTCAAATGCATCACTCTGTATATTTGTGCAAGTTTGGATTCAGTTTTTTATAAGCTTTTTTTTGATACTAGACACATAAGGGTTTTTACGGCTATTTTTTCGGTTATTAGCACATCTTTTGTGGAACGGCTTAATTCTTTAACATATCGCATCATCCTTGGAAAAAATAAATTGTTGATTAGTTACAGTCTAAATTAGCTTTGTCAGAATTATAATAAAAACGTGTTTTTCTAAAGAAGAAATGGTAAATATGGTGTTCGTTTTGGGCGAAGCCCAAAGAAATAGTTTCTTAGCATCTCGCATTTACAAGCAACGGTACCCTAGTATGCGATATCCAAGGCCGGAAACATTTTCCACACTACGAGAACGTTTTGAATCAAGTGGAGCAGTGGAATATAGTAAAAAATGTATAAATAATCCCAGTGTCACCAATGAGGCGAATCAGTTGGAGGTTATATTAAAGTGCACGGCAAATTGAAGCAGAAACTGATATATGCCGAACTTCTGTCCAAAAGATTATTCACAAGCATAGGTACCAGCCATATCACCTATGCTTGCATCACGGTCTTCGTCCTCAAGATTTCGCAGCTTGAATGGAGTTTAGTAGAATAATGCTAAATAACGTTAGTGAAGACACTACTTTCCTGGATAAGGTTCTTTTTAGCGATGATTCAACTTTTAACAGCATAGGTGTTGTCAACAGGCATAACATGCACTATTATGCGACGGAAAACCCTTACTGGGTTAGGCAAATAAATTTTTAAAATAAATGGATCTTGGATGTTTGGGGAGGAGTTATTGGCAGACAAGTTATCGGGCCTTTCTATTTCGACAACAGACTAACAGGTACAGAATGCTTGAATTTTTTGACGTGACGGCGTACCTGCGCATTATCATAATCGTGTGCCTAACTATTTGGACACCTGGAATAACAATCGTTGGATCGGTCGTGATAGGCCTATATCTTGACTTGAAGCCGATTTATACTGTTCAGATTGCTCTTAGTTTTTACGTCAAACCTTTTTTCTTAGTTGCAATATGGAACTAGCCCACTGTTTGTCTTTTGTTTCCATGGATGAAGTGATTTTTTTCCTCAATTTCGGTGCATTGTTCTATTAAAAGCTTAATAACTCAAAAAATAGTGATTTTATCTGAATCAAACCTTATACCAAAAAAAAGCTTATAAGAAATTGAATCCAAACTTGCAAAAATATACATAGTGATGCATTTGAAATTTTTGAGAAAAAGTACAATTCGCGTTGTTGACCACCCTGTATGAGCAAAAATGAAAATTCGAAAAAGTAACAAATGAGATAAATGCTGAGGTGTGTAAGTTTTTATTATACAAATTCAGCACTCCAAATTTCAAAATGGTGGATTGAGGGGTTGCTGAGGTGGACGGTTTTTCTGGACAAAACACCTTATATCTCAGTAGCTAATTACCAAAACCCCATGGTATGTTATATCAATCTCCTTATTTTGAATTGGTTTATCCAAATATGCAATAAAACTTGAGGAATTCCATTTAAAAAATCATTACTTTGATATGTAGGTCAAAATTGGGACACCCTGTATAATTGCTAATATTTTAGAAATGTGGCCTCAAATGTCATGTATAACTTGCCATAAATAGATTTTCCCAAGATGTATTTGTTTATGAGTAATATTCCGTCCACACATGGATGGGCCACCCTGTATATATATATATAAATGTGCAATTAAATGTAAGACGTTCCATATAAAAAAATGCCGGATTTCAATGTTATTTTTCTAAATTGGATGTATCATGCATGCATCTGGATAGATACTTTCAAGAAAATAAGACTGATATATGATTAGTATCTGTTGATGTTGAGCTGTCAAGTTATAGGCATTTCAATGTACGATACAATAACCCTTAACTTTGACAGCCCGCCAATCCGCCGTTTTAAAAGATAGTAAACTGATACTTTTGGGTTTTGACGTACTCATAATGAGCTTCAAAATGAGGTATCACATGACCCCCCGTTACATTTAAATCATTGTCCACGGTGGCGTCCTACCGCCGTCTTGAAATTTTCAAATATCACTTTTACGATAATTTACAAGATGTCTCGAAAGTTGGGACTCTCCTTTTGAGAAAGAACTACTTTGCGGTGAAACAACAGCGAACAAGTAAAAAAAATGGTGATTTTTATTACCTATTTGTCGTGTAATAATTGTATCATCTCAAATTTTAATTTGCTAACAAAACGGTTTAAAAAATAAGTCGTGGGACCTTTTTGCACTATGTATGATATCGTATGAAGACTCTCGATTTTGGATTAATCCTTCCTGGAGGATAAGCAGATATTTCGATTCTGCATGCGAGACCAATGTTTGCGTCAGCACTATCGACCAAAGGTGTTGATCTCTTTGAGTTAAATGGGCGAAAATTATAAACGTGATCTGGATGGATCAATCCAAATTGGATATTTTCGGTATAACTGAAGAAAACTTACGTACAACACGCTTCTGCAAATGGATCTGAGAGATCTCGCATTTTTCTGTTGCACATAATGGATAGGATCTTCAATAGAACAGGATATCACAGACTTTCTGGATTCTTTATTCAACCGAGATGATCACACTTATCTACGCTGTAAAAAAACTGTTTAGGTAGTAGGAGGTAGGCAATATGTTGCGGTTGTTATTGGTTCCTAAAGATGAAATATTTTTTTGAATTGAGACTCTGCCGCGCCGCGGTTTGGTTATACCTACCATAAAGTATATTCACTTATGATTTTTGTTAACATCCCACGTAGATACGCTCCTTAATATCTGATATGCATACATGTACTGTCACGCGTTCTTAAAGCCAGTTGAGTCATGTCAATGTCCAAGATACATATTTATGGCTATTCAATGAAAAAAATCAATATCTTTCTGTGCATACCAAATAGGCATAAATGTCACATCTATTAATTTTTATGTCGTCACTTATACAATTGAATAATAAATCAAGTCGCGTACGGTTCCTATACGTTTGAAAATTTGAAAGATCGTAAAGTATAAGTAAGCTCTGCTCACATGGAGGGTTATAAAATAAACAATGGAGATGATTGGAAAGCACCGTAGACAGAGCTTCCGTATCCGAGACAAGAACTCAAATGAATAATCATCAATCAATGTATAGAACAACAGCCAGCAACGACCAGACTTTCGTTATTTTATAAAACCTGAAAGTTTCTCTGAGTATGTCCCCGACACAGGTAGGAATAATCAGCGACTATAAAATTTGAATAGTGCTTACGTTGGCGGGCAACAGGTAACAAAGGTGTATAAACTAGTACCTCAAATTCCCTGAAGTATAAAGCCCAGTTTTTCGTAAGAAAAGTTTTCTGTTCCTCTATTTTGTCCCTATCTACTTACCTCTTCAGTTTTTGGATAATTCATACAGGGTGGCGAAGAAGGAAAAGGAACATCCTATATATTTTCTCATTTTTTTTATTTCTCTTTCCACATTAGTCACCAATGTGAAACTGTGGAACATTCGGATTCATTTCTTGCAGCGAGTAGGTACACACTGAAACCTATTTTCACAGCGTTTTTGTCAATGGGTGATGTCAGATTTTGTTCCCACTATGCGGCGCTTGTGTGGTTGGGGAGTGAAAGCTGTCAAACATTCAAGGTGTGTAAATTAAGTAATGAGACTGACAACGCAGCGTTCGATCTGGCAACACTGGAGGCGCCGGGTTTGAAGGGGAGACAGGGGAACATGAGATCCGCCTTCAGTATCGGAGTTCCAGCACTGTTATGAAGAGAATAACCGTCTCGAGCGTTGTGTGGCTTCAGAAGGAAGTTATTTTAAGAGTGATAATATAAAATTGTAATTATATTTAAATAGATAAATTTATATACGTCAGTTTTATCACTTAATTTACAGACCTCGTAGATGGGAAAAGGACAGATTTGATAGAAAGGTAACCCTATTTTTTCACGTAAACAGTTGATCAGCCGTTGACATGTTTGTCTGTTAATATCACAACCACCCGCAAGAGTTCATTGTTTAAAAATACACTCTAATAGGGCATATCGCAAGTTATTTGGCTATATATTATATTATCCTTACAGAAACCGATGTGGACACATATGGAGACCCCATCATTGAAGAAAGTCCTGTATTTGGAATTTACGACGAGAAGGGTGTTTTCCGGAGGGTAGCTCTCCCCATCACTTACCAGAAGCCACAAAGCAGAGATCGTAGCATCAGTTACGCTTACGGAGACCACGAGTAAGTGTTAAAATTGTCTATTTAGTATATCAATGCCTAGCTTTGCAAAACTCATTTGTGAACTTGCTTGAGGACAATATATTCTCATATATCTGCTTAAAAAAATGGGTATTTCGTAAAGTGGGTTTCTGGTCCAAAAATGGGATCTGAAATACACTAACGCCATCTGAGATACAGAAGTAAATCACAATCATACATTTAGAAATCCACTTTGAAAAGTGTTAGAGTGTTTGGTTCTGTTACTATCTGATGGATGGTGCTGGGGTTTTCAATCCCTTTTTGGTCTCGCAAATGAATGCCTATTTTAACTGAGTAACTTCTAGAGGTGTTGAAAAAGTTACTATTTGTTACTCGCGTAGGGTAGAGTGGGGTTAACTGAACAGGTAGGTTAACTGAACACATCGATGTTCCTGCCATCTAGTAATGATGAATTAAACTTGATTTTGCCTTAAAGCGTCTTTTGTTACGTGTGTTGACACTGTTCGGTGCAGATTTCTTTTAAGTCGGTTCTAATCTCGTAAATCAGCAAACATATTTTTAATGGCCGCCACGTAAAATTTGTGCTCCCAAGTTTTTTTGTGTTACAGTTAGCAAAATAGAGTTTTTAAATTGGTTTGACGTATATTTTGTTCCAGTAAGTATTTTAGCATTTATTTCTTGTGTTTACCTAAGCTTAACATTATTTTTTAATCAAATTTTTCTTTTGCTTATGTATTGGTGCACAGTGGGTATAACTGGACATCTCATGTATGTGGTTATATGAACAGGTGTTCAGTTAACCTGCGTTATTTATTTATTATTATTTTGTCTACAAATTTAGTTTATTTTTTAGAATATGCCAAGAAAAAGACTACGTACTACCAATAACAGATCATATAGTGTAGCAGATCTTAGACAAGCATGTGAAGAAGTCCTGACACATGGTCGAACAACTCGAAGTGTTGCACTTCAGTTTAAAATCCCAAGAATTACTTTAAAAAGGTATGTCGATAAATGTCGGGAAAAAAACAACTTGGATATAAATTTTCGCCCCAACAACGAACATCTTTTGGCTTTTAGTCCCGATGAAGAATTACTTCTTAAAAAATACTTAGAGCATGCATCTAACATTCAGTATGGCTTGTCTTCTAAACAAGCTCGTATTCTAGCTTACGAGTTTGCGGTGGCCAATGGCAAAACCATAAAAGAAAGTTGGTCCCGAGAAGCAATGGCAGGCAAAGAGTGGATGTTTAGATTTATGAACAGGCACAACTTTTCGTTGAGGACGCCAGAACAAACAAGCTTAAGTAGAGCAACCAGTTTTAATAAGACAAATGTGGAGGCATTTTTTAAAAATTTTAGAGAGATTAAAGAGAGATATAATTTGCAATCTAATGATATATACAATCTAGATGAATCCGGTGTAACCACAGTCCATAAACCTCCTAAGGTTCTTGCAATTAAAGGAAAAAGAAATGTAGGCCAGATGACGTCGGCTGAAAGAGGGACGCTCGTAAGGAATTATTGGAGCTACAGGACAATATGTTCCTCCTTTTTTAATATTTCCCCGAGTACACTTTAAAGAAAATATGCTCCATGGAACTCCAGCTGGCTCTAAGGGTGGAGCTTCGCCTTCTGGATGGATGAACAGTCAGTTGTTTCTTCCTGTGTTGCAGCATTTCGTACAAAACGAGAGACCATCTAAAGAACATCCCAAACTAATAATCCTTGATAATCATGAGAGTCACTTAGGTATTGCAGCACTAAATTTTGCTAAGCAAAATGGTATACTCCTTTTGACATTGCCACCCCATTGCAGCCACAAGCTGCAACCATTGGATTTAGCAGTATTTGGGCCATTTAAAAAATATTATGGTGCAAGTTGTGACAGATGGATGGTAAATCATGCCGGAAAACCTATCACTATTTATGACATCGGATGTCTGGTTGGAGAGGCTTTTTTGCAAGCGTTTACTCCAAAAAATATATGCAGTGGATTTCGTGCAGCAGGAATAGAGCCGTTTAATGACCAAATATTTTCGGATGAAGAATTTCTTTCGTCATATGTTACAGATAGACCAGGGAAAACATCAGAGGAAGAGGCACCACAAGCTGGGTCGTCACAAGATAATACATCACTGCCTAAACCAATTCAACATGGCATGACAGATCCTGTTCTGTCACAATTTCAGCTCTCAAAATATCAAGAATTACAAGCCGGACCATCACAAGCTGAATCGTCGAGCACTGCTAACCTACAAACTGAAAAATCACAAACCAAACCGACTTTATCTTCAATTGAGATAAAAAAGCCGACATTTCAAATTATAACTCCTGAACAGATCCGTCCTCACCCCAAAGCTGGTGAACGAAAGTCTACAATTCGAAGAAAGAAAAAATCCCTGATTTTGACAGACACTCCAGTCAAAGAGAACATAGAGGAAGAAGCAAGACTTCGAGAAGAAAAAGCACAAAAAAAACCAAAAGAACTAACAAGAAAAAAGAGGCAGTAAAAAGACGTATTCTAGAAGACAGCTCTTCTGATGATGACAGTGTTATCTATGAAGAAAGCTCGGATTCTTTAGAAGAATTTGATGCATATGACGATAGTCCACAAGCTGTGACAAAAGGCGATTTTGTAATCGTGAAAGTGTATGGGCAAAATAAATTAAATGTTGGTGAAATTATTCATGCTGTAAATGATGGTTTTGAGGTTACTTTTTTAAAACGCCACAAAGAAACAAAATATTTTTTTAAAAATAATGAAAATGGCTTTGTTGTAAAAGCTGATATTGTTTGTAAGTTACCCATGCCAGCCAAAAGTAACAGCGCTAGATATGCCAACATGGTGTCATTTCAAGTTGATTTAAATGAATTTGACTTTACAGTTTATTAAAATTACCTACAATATTTTCATACATGTTCAGTATGTTTGACTTTACAGTTTATTAAAATTATCTATAATATTTTAATGTATCTTCAGTATGTTTCTTATTATAAATAAAAATGATTGTTAAAAAGTGTTGACATATTTTCTATGATATATTTTTAACATTTTTATTATAGCTAGTCGCCTTATTCGCTAGAGGGCTAGACTTGTATTTAGGGTATTAGGTTGGTAATAGTAAATGATGGAAAGCTTGCCAGCCTTCTTATGGTTTAGTGCCCTCAATTTTCCATGCATGGCCATTTTTGCTGTTTAACAATTTATGACAAATTTATTGTATATTTCTGTCAATTAAATAACAAAAATGGCAGCGCATGAAGATTCCAGGGCACTAAATCATAAGAAGCTGACAAAATTTCCATGTAGAAAGTGTTAAGTAAAAGTAAATTTAAAAAATATGTCTTGTTTGTACCTCTGTTCAGTCAACCTGCATAAGTGGTCCAGTTAACCTGACAGGCAGGTTAACTGGACAATTTGATAGGTTTTAACAAAAGTCAATCTGTCATACACATAAATTTAAATTTAACTTTAAACATTACGTTTTCCAATTACTTACATAACTACCAAAGCATGGTCACAAAGGTATGTTTTTAGCAACGATTTACTGGTCAAAAACAGAGTTTAAATTTTGGTGGGTCCAGTTAACCCCACTCTACCCTACTCGTTACCCAGAGATAGAAGATAAGAAATGTGGTGCATTCCTGATGGTGCTCCTGCATATATTAGCATTCACGCTAGGGAATTTCTAAATGAAGCGTATACGGATCGCTGGATAGGACATGGGGGAACTCAATCTTGGCAGACATGTTCAACAATTCTTGTGATAATTAAGTTAAATAGTATTAGTTTATTTGATCCACAGAAATTGTCAAAACCTCTTGCAAACTTGTTTTTTTAATTTTCATGCATTGCAGAATCGCTAAAATCTCATGTGGTAGTCTGTAGGTAATATTTATTCAAGTAGAATCAAATTAATTACGCAAAAACAGTGCATCGGACGGAAAAAAGTCAAGAGGTCAAATTAACTGCAAAAAAAATGAGGATTTCAAAAATGATTTTTATTTTGAGAAAAGTAATGGCGTACTATTTTTTTTAAATCTCCAGTATACATATAGTACGGACGCCTCTGGTAGAAATATTAAAAATTTTTACATCAAAAATGCCTACTGATGCTTAGTAAGCGCATGTCAAATTTCATGGAAATATCTAGAACAGTATTAAAGTTATGATGAGAAAACGATTTTTTCTTGGAGTTTCAAAACCTGTAGCTCAAAAGTTAAGCGGTTTAGATCATACGTTCATATAAACTTTTCTTCATAAAATGAAAATCATATTCTGTATTTTTGGCCTTCAATTGAATACACACTGTATAGATGATCTTGGATTTGAAAAGTAGGAGCCAAAACCAATATTCAATTAAGAATTTGTTCTTGCCCTTCTTTTTTGCTCCCTGCTTTCTTTCGTCCTATATACTAATCCTGAAAGGGGGAATAGCGTTACACATTCTAAAGGACTCCACTACCTTTCATTAGTTTTTTCTCATTAACCTTCTCGAACTTGAAAAGTAATTTTAAAAAAAATTTTTAAGAATAAAGAAGGGTCCGGTTTGCACAACTAAAACCAAAAACATGTTTATTTTGTTTTGTAACCCTACAGGATATCAACTGCAGCACTGCCTCATCCAATAGAAGCACAAAGTAAAAACATTTCATGTTCAAGAGCACTAAATATACATAATTCTTCTTCGTTCATTTTTTTCAGGAGAGATCCATACGCCTCAAGAATGGACCTTTACAGCAGACTGGATGACTACCACAACAGAGACTCCACACTGCCTATCTATGATGATGTCAGACGAAGAAAACCTGATAATTTCGGTCTTAGTCAACAGGGACATTTGAAAATAGATTACTCGTGTAGTTGGAATAATCTTAACAAATACATGAGAGACAACTAAATACATAATATACTGGTTCACAAACTTTGATACGCATCTAATGATGTGTACAAAGAATATTTATTTTAAGTGTGAAAATTTTATAGTATTATCGACTTGAGTAGAATTAGATAATATATGAAATATACAATAACCTATATATTTTGTTTAATATTTAAACTGTATTAATGTTTAGGGAATAGTGTATGGAATCAGTATTTTACATTGTATATATTTGCAATCTTGTATGTGTATCATAAATCAAAATATGTAATATAAGACTGGGAAATACCATAAACTGTACAGAATACATAATAAAGAGGGATAGAATGCAAGTTGCAGTGGGCTGTGAAACAAGTGAACCTGTAAATGCTGAGGTATTCCGCTGTCGCGATATTCTTAGCGTAATTTTAAGCTTCCTATATAAAGATGTGTTTCACATATTACATGCTGTATATACACTATTTTTCACACATGTCAACATGTGACAAAAAATAACTGCTGATCATTTAGTTGCATTCAATATAACTCATATCATTGAGCAGTAACAACTCCGACATAAGTTATTTAGCATAAAGTAATTAACAAAATTTTGGTGTTCAATCAGAATTAACCAATTGATATAGATGCTAATGATCATGCCTATATTTTAAATCTGCCAAGAATTCTGTGCTTTTTGTAAATAATAATAATAAATATACAAATGGGATGTTAATAGTATACAGGGTGATTCACAAGTCGTGACCAAAAATCAAACATCACACACACACAGGACCGCATTTTAAGCGGGTCCTCTATTTAACATTTTTTTCTTCGAAGGATTCATTAAAAATAAAAAACAATTTTTTGAATATCTTCAAAATCGTCAACTGGAATGAACTAAAATTTGGTACGAGGATTTACCTAAGTGTTGTCCGCATTCAGAAGTGTTCACTTAAAACTAACGTGCATCAGTGGCGGAGATACAGGGGATTAGTGGCATTATTTTTCCAAATAAAAATAGTACCTACACCACTGTTTTTTTTCGGGACGCGCAATTTTTCGAATTTTACCTTCAATTTGCTACAAATAATTACTCTTGTGTTCTTGCGTAGAGTGTGTAGTGGTTCAGTGAGGTGCGCGGCAACTCGGCAACAGTGGACGAAATTGTGGTAGATCGAGCGAGGGGGCAGTTGCCCTTCGCCGCCGAGAGAGGCAACAGGTGACGTGACCATCTTCCGGATTTAAAAATTACCGGGTTCCATGTTTTTTTAGTTAGTGAATTATTTTGTGCCTTACTACCATTAAAGTTTGTTAGCCATATCGCCGTCCTTATTACTGAAACCCACGAAAAACCCTGAGTAATATTGTGTAAGCTCGGATCCACTTCATTTGGCGCCCAACTCGTGGCCAGTAGAACGGCGTAGCGCGATACGGTTGCAAGGTGTTAGATAGAGAAGCAACGAGACGCGACGAAAACGGTACGCGTAGGTGAAGACGGTTGATTTTGGCGGCACGACGACGTAGAAACAGTCGTTGAGGCGTTGCTGTGTTCAAGCGGCACGAGCCAGGCGGTGTTGTCGGTTGTAAGAGGAGTAAGCAGATCTGGGTGAGAAGTCATTTTCATTTTTGGAAAGCTGAGGGTGTGTATGCTGCTGGGGGGTTCTGTACGAGCACCGAGGCGCTGGTAGAGAAGCAGTGAGGCGTTAAGAGATAGCTGGCGGAGCAGAGGGGATATGACTGATTATTTACTGTGTTGAAACAGTCATTGTAACAAAAAAAAAACTTTCCTTGGTTTAGTTTACTGTAGTATTGTAACAATTTGTCGTTTAGGTAAGCTGTAGAAATGTCTAGCAGAAAGTCGCGGAGAGGCAGGGCAGAGAGTACAAAGGAGGTGCAGGAGGACCTTGAGTCTTTAGTTAGAAATTTGGCAATATCAGTGACAGAGTTAAAAAGTACGGTAGGGCAACTAGCTGAGAAGGTGGCAACGTCTGACACACGATATAAGGGCCTGATGTCTGGAATGGAGACAGTGCCGGAGACTGTTTGTACTTCTAAAGGAATAGATGATTGTTCGACTGTAATTAAAGATAGATCCTATATAATAAACTGGAAAGAGTTAGGGGGTGGTAATGTCACATTTTCAAACTATGGGCAAATGCACCCAATGCTATTTTTAACGAAAATTGAAAAAATATTTAGCGATGCAGGTGTTCCTGAGCATGCGCAGTTGGGTTTAGCTGTTGGTTGCTTAAGAGGTTCGGCGGCCGATTGGGCTAGCGTCAAGGAGGATTGTTTTGCCGACTATGTTTCATTTCGTCTAGCGTTTAAAAATAGATTCTGGAGCATTGAAAAACAACGAGAGTTGTATATGACGTTGGTCTACGGTACGCACTCGTATGGCAGTCGAGCAGAATATTTCTTGAATCTGGTGGCGCAGGCAAAGTTTCTTGATAATAAAATTCCGATGCAAAATGTAATTGGAATGTTGGTAAAACATTTTGATGTGGAAGTCCAGCGGGGCATGATTATTAATAATTTTACGTCGCCTGATACGGTAGAGGAATATCTGAGACGTATTGACGAATTGTCTACTGTGGGGGGTTCGAATAGGAATATGAATAATGCGCAGGGTTATAGTAATCGATCTGAAAATAATCGAATAAATTCCGAGAGAGAGATATCGAGAGATAAGCGGTCGACCGCTAGAGGAAATAATGAGGGACATACCGTGTGTTCACTGGCTTGCATGGGGGATCCAGATCTTTTAAGCGACCTGGAGGATATAGTGCAGGATGATGAAAATGTTTCGCCGACCATATCGATACATATTTTTGGTACGTTGGTAGAAGTATTGATCGACAGCGGCTCAGATATATGCGCAATCTCGGAGAAATTCTATTCAGAGTTAAGCAACCTCGGGAAATTTCCAATTTTACCGGTCATACTAGGAGTGATCTCTGTAGCAATAGGCGGTAAAACGCAGAAGATAAAGTCGCAAATCTTTATTCCAGTTCAATTAGAAGGAATAGATATGGATGTGAACTGTTTGGTTATTCCACAACTCAATTGCAATTTGATATTTGGATCAAATTGGTTATCCAAGCATCAAGCACGTTTGGATTATCAATATTCACAGGTGAAGCTGATGATAGAAGGGGTTTCCGTAAATACGGAGCTGTCATTCCGGATTGATCCGCAGAAAATATCTATAAACCTCTGCGAGTAAAATGATTATGTGCTTGATGAAGTCGAAAATAAAGCTAGCAGGGTTACGCCACTGGTAGAGTACAGCGTTGATGACGGTGATTCCCGCAGCAAAGGCTACAGCGCGGAGGATATTCAGGCAGCAGCAGCGAAAACTACTTTGAGTGGGAGTGCTAAGGCTTCACTTTTAAGTATTTTGGAAAAATATAGGAATACATTCTCTGATACACCGGGACGCGTCGTCAACTATTTTCATCAAATTGAGCTAGTGGATGAAAATGAATTTAATTTTGTGGCTTATCCTGTTCCTATGCTTTATCGGGATGAAGTTAGAAGACAGATTGCTGAAATGTTAGCGGCCGGTGTTATTCAAAAGGAAAGAACTTCCTACATTTCGCTGTTAGTTTGCGTGAAGAAAAGGGATAGGAATATTCGCGTGTGTTTGGACGCTCGGGGGCTGAACAAGATGAAAAAGGATTTCGTGAATCCTCCCAATCAGTCTGAATTGATGGCCAATTTTAAACAGGGGCAAATTATGAGCACAATAGACTTGACGCAAGCATATTGGCAAATTCCAGGGTTGCCGGATCATACCAAATATCTTGGGTTTGTGTTCGAGGGTGAAACATATAGTTTTTGTCGATTGCCATTTGGGTTATCTACTTTCATGGCAAGTCTTATTCGATGCTTAAATAAGATACTGGAAGGCTGTAATGATTTCGCGCAGTCATATGTTGATGATTTATTAATTTACTCGGAGAACATAGCGGATCACTTAAGGCATTTGAAGACGATTTTTCAGAGACTTAGTGATGCCGGAATTACAATTAAACTAAGAAAATGTCAGTTTATTAGGGAAAAGGTACATTTTCTAGGTCATGTGATCACCTCGAGGGGAATCGAAATAGACGAGGGGCGTGTCAAAAATATTTCTGATTTTCCTGTTCAACGAAATATAAGAGAGCTGCGAGGGTTCTTGGGTCTGGTCAATTATGAACATCGATTCTGCGCCGGGTATGCCGAATTGACCATGCCATTGTTGAAGTTGCTGAAGAGGAGAAAAATGGCGCTGGGAAGCGATTAAATGGAGAATTTTAGAGCTATTAAGACAGCCTTCCTAAAGTCCATGATGCTTGTTCATCCTGATTTTAAGCGCACTTTTTATATTCAATGCGATGCTTCCGCATATGCCGTGGGGGGCAGTCTTTACCAGATTAGCGATACGGGGGAGAAACAATATGTTTGCTTCATGAGTTCCGTTTTGAAAGGAAGTCAAATAACTACACCGTAACGGAAAAGGAAGCTTGGCGGGTTGTCTGTTGTTTACGTTTGTGGCGCTTCGATGTAAACTGTACGACATTGAAGGAGGATTCAGGTGTGGCGTATGAAAAACTGAAGAGGGAGGCTGCAAAAAGGGTAAAGAGGGCTAAAGTGATGAAACCCTTTTACTTTTGACCCGGGCGATAAGGTTCTAGTTAAAACGCATCCTCATTCGTCCGCCGAAGCTAAACTAATTTCTAAATTCTTTTTACTGTATGATGGACCATATACTGTGTTACAACAAGCGGGACCCAACTCCTATGTCATTGGACATCTTGATGGTAAGATTCATTCTAAGGAAAATGTAATCAATCTCAAAGCTTATAAGCAGCCTAGCGATGTTGTACTGGAGTAATGTTCCCGGTATTGCCTTGCACCCTCTGCTCTGTTTCGAGACTTAAATCTATGTTACCTCGATTTAAGTGGGGGGTTGTGTAGTGGTTCAGTGAGGTGCGCGGCAACTCGGCAACAGTGGACGAAATTGTGGTAGATCGAGCGAGGGGGCAGTTGCCCTTCGCCGCCAAGAGAGGCAACAGGTGACGTGACCATCTTCCGGATTTAAGGATTACCGGGTTCCATGTTTTTTTTAGTTAGTGAATTATTTTGTGCCTTACTACCATTAAAGTTTGTTAGCCATATCGCCGTCGTTATTACTGAAACCCACGAAAAACCCTGAGTAATATTGTGTAAGCTCGGATCCACTTCAAGTGCACCGTTTTCGTAAAAGTGAAAAAAGAAATTAGATAATCAAAGCTCTATTTCAATGAATGTTTAAAAAGACCAGCATTCTGACGGATACCAGTGCAGCATCTGTTTAATAAAAAAAAACGTATTGTCTATTCTTTCGTGTAACTGAT